GTGCCAAAAAACGAGAAAAAAAACGAGCAAAAAATGGGCAAAAATAGCAATGGCGCACGGTGGGGGTTAGACGGTGCGCCACTACTATTTTCCCGCCTTCAAAATTCAAAAATACTAATGGCGCACCAGTGGCCTATACTAATGGCGCACCAGTGGCCTATACAAATGGCGCACCGTGGCCTATACTAATGGCGCACCAGTGGTGCGCCATTAGTATACCAGATACTAATGGCGCACCAATGGTGCGCCATTAGTAAAAAATACTAGTGGCGTGATACTAATGGCGCACCAGTGATGCGCCATTAGTAGGCAAAACTGGTGCGCCATTAGTAGCCCTTTTCCTAGTAGTGGTGCATTGCCCTTTCTCACATCGAGAGTTGGTGCAAACTTCGCCGGTGCATCCAAACCCTGTGATATGATACTCACACATAAACCTCCTTATATCTTCCTCAAAACAGCCACCATACCTACCTATTATGGCATTTCCATAGCCATTCCGAGATATATTGCCATGCAACTTTCCACCATCCAGTTTATCATGACACATCCATCATTGCCATATTGCTTAGCATGATCATGTAGTTGACATAGTATTTGTGGCAAAGCCACCATTCATAATTTTTTTCATACTTGTCACACTCAGCTCTTGCTCGTTGTCACCACATCACCTCCTCACAATGGTAGATCTGTACTAATTTTCACTGATTTTTAGCTCTGCGTGAGTGGGAATCGTCCTGTTTCAATCAGATCAAAGCTTTTCTAAATCTCGCATTGTTTTGATCTCCTTGCATACACTACCAAATGTTTCATTGTTCCAGCGCAAGAGAGGGCTGCCAACTTCATACTCAACTCGTTTGTTCGGAAGGTGGTACCCGATGCAGCCATGTCGTGTTAATCATATCACCCCATTGCTCATGTCCTTCCCTCATAACCTCGTAACTAAAGGTCTTGGCCCTTGTGTTTGTTGGGAAACGTGGTAGAAAACAAAAAAAATACCCCTATGCACACCCAAGATCAATATGAAGATGCATTACGGGTTGAGATCATGATCGTTACTCTCACCGAGTTGTAGTAGAAGAAGAACGTGTCAGTTTAGATCATACTTGGAGTCCCTTGAACCTTCAAGGAACGATCACGCAAACCGCCGATGAACAGTCCCTCGAATTGAAGACCGAAAGCACAGTCTCTCTACTTGGTTGCAAGCGTGCAGCCTTCATGACCTGGCAGTGCTTCATCGTTGAAAGATAATCGCCAGAGAATTAGAGGAAGGAGATTAGAACCACACTGGGATTCTACTTATGAGGATTATAGGATCTAGGTCTAGCTCTAACTAGATCAACTAGGATCAACTAGAACTAGAACTAAAGGGAACTAGAGGAGGCTCCAAACTTGTATATGTCCATACAGCAAAAAACCCTGGTATATATAGGTTGGAGGGGAGGGAGAGGACAGCCAAGGAGGGAAATTCTCTCCTTGGGGCGCTAGCCTTAGGAGGAGTTGGACTCCTCCCACACTCCAATTCGCCCTCCCTCCCCCCTCCCCCCCCCCCACACACACAAGGAAGGGCCTTCACTTCGTATTGGGCCAAGTTGGCTTGATGCTCCTTCCCCGGTTTGGCCTTTTAAGGACCGTTTGTATCAAATTTATTATAAAAGCCTTATAATAAATATTAGACCCTTTTATATATCATTTAACAGCCCCGGAAACATTTTACACCTATATATTATTTATCGGTAATACCCGATATTAACCGATACTCTCCAAAATCCTTTCAGTGACCCCGAAACGCTTACGGATATTTATGAAACAATTCCACAAATATATACACATCATTCCCGTCCTACTAAAACTCATCAGGTCATAATTGCCTTAAGCTTGTGACCCCGTAGGTTCGGTAACTCATAGACATGAACCAAACCCCTTCGCTCAATGACCGATAACGGAAACGTGGACGTCCATATCGATCCCTATGAGCACATGAAAGATATTCAAGCGAATATTTGGTTATCATGTGATGTTCCCATTGCTTTGCAATATTTCACAAAACCGAGGATACATCGGTGTCCTCCTGTGTCATCACATGCTCATGATACCATTATCCTTGTTACCGGTTTTGTTCTTCTTTCTCGTTGTCGTGTTCCGGCATCCCCGTAACATAGTCACATGTGTCGTGATAGAAGATGATTGATAGCATCACACCGAGAGGGCCCTAAGAATCTCTCTCCATCTCCATAGGAGCCAATCCCACTCTCGGGCTATCTAGTCCCTTGTCAAAATTTCTGATGGGCCTGTAAGTTGTCATTATGATCACCATGTTACAGGTGACGTTTGAGCAACCCCAAAGTCCACCATATGGTAAGAAGTGATTACGATACTCTCATGGTCTAAGGAGAAAAATCACACGTTAACACTCGGTGTTGTTACAATTGATTACAGACGATATAAACTCAATTCTTTACACACAAATTTTGGTCGATTCAATATGATCGTTCTTCTAACGTCATACTCTGAATGTTGTTTTAGGACTATCGTTACACTTACCAATATCCCAAGATCTCGAAAACATGATCACCAACAACACTTGAGCCAGTCTTAGAGGCAAGATTAGGAACCTATTCTCTACCGTTTATCATTCCACACGTGCATATGAGTTTTCCACTGAGTCGCCTATTCCAGAATCATAGCAGTTATAGCGTGAAATATAAACTCTTAATTATGAAAATGAAATTATAATAATACAATATTATTGCCTTTAGGGCATATTCCCAATAGTATTATGTTGTTGCTGCCGATGCAAAGTCCACCAATATCGCGTCATGATCTGAAGGTACGACTGTCAGGTGAGTTTAATCAGCAAGTGAAACCTTTGTTGCCAGTCCATAGAAACCAGCACTCGGTCTAGGCGCACCATTGTGAAAGTACCACCTGTAACCTTCATCTCAAAGGCCGGTCCTAAGTAACCCAAATCTAGCAGCATGCAGACATCAACCTTGTCTTGAAAAGCTTGGATCTGCACACTGCTGCGTTGTCCAACTCCTTTGTGCTCATCCGTATGTAGAACTTCATTGAAATCGCCCAGGCAAAGCCATGGGAGATTGTTGGAAGTACTGATGTTTTTAATAGTATCCCATGTTTGGTGCCTCAAGTGGGTTTGGGCTTCACCATACACTATTGTAACTCTCCAAGGATCAAGGCTTGGTTCAAGAATGGAGCACTCAAAATGATACACAGAGTAACCAAGAATATCTATTTTTATTTCATTATTCCAGAAAATGCCAATACCACCACTTCTTCCCTGTCTATCAATCACATATCCATTATCATACCCTAATGTTCCTGCTAAAGATTCTACCCTCGAGCCTCTTGTTGGGTTTCTACTATGTAGAGGATGGTAGGGGAAAATTTCCTTGTGAAATCACAAAGCTCACTGATTGCTGTGGCTCTGCCCGCACCGCAACAATTCTAGCAGAAGACACACATTGGACATGGAGGCACTCCTCTAGGGAGCCTAACAATTTTGCCATTGGGTTTTTTGTATTGCCACCGTTCTTATGCAACGTGTTCTTATCTGCTGCAATTACTTGTCCTTGACCTGTTTTGTTCCTGCCGAGACGAGGGGCTCGATGGGGTTTGAGGGGAAGGTAGCGTCGGTGTTTTGCCTTGGGCCGACATAGCTGTTATGGCTAACTCATCTGCCACTGGATCAACTGTCGTTGTGAGCTCTGAAGCTCGTTTTTTGTTCAGTTCGGCCTTGTGCATGTAGGCATCAGGGTCCTCATACTCTGATTCCCCCTGGGTGCGCCTTGGTCCATGATCAGTCCTGCCGTTGTGGTCACGGCCTCGCCCTCTCCCTCCTCCAGATCCTCTCCCCGCTCCCTTGTACCAGCTAGCTCACAGATTTTTGAAAACTAGGGCTAACGGTGGATGCACGCCATCCCGACATTCCTTGTACATGTGGCGCAAATAACCACAAACCATGAATGAATCTGGTAGCCGCTCATATGCGACTGTGAAGACCATATGTTCATACACATTTAACATTTTTCAAATGCTTGAGTTACATTTTTTCAAATACTTGTTCAACAATCATTTTAGATACTTTGTTCATCATCTTTTGAACATATGGTCAACATTTCTTCCATACTCCCGCCGTCCGGTGAAATGTCTACATATAAAAAATTAGGACAAATAATGGAGTGGAGTAGAAAATGCATTGGGAAGATGCAAGCCACCATCTCTTTTTTTTATTACCAAAATCCCAATGAGCTAAATGTAGAATGTTATTGGTCTTGATTACCGTGCGATGACAGAGAAGCATTTTTTCTACTTTCATGTGCATTGGGAGGATAGAAATACACTCTTTTGTGGACAAAATTTAAAGCCAAACATACACCCTTCAGCGGACGGAGGGACTACACAGTTAACATTTTCCATATGCTTGGTTAACATTTATTAAATACATGTTCAACATTTTTTTTTCAAATACTTGATTAAAATTTGTATACATATTATAAAAAATTCATCATTGTTTCCATACATGGTCAACATTTTTCTTTACACATTTAACATTTTCAAATGCATAACTATTTTTAGAAAAAACTTTATGTAGAGTATATTTTTGTCATATATATCTTTAGAGTATTTGGAGGCGTAAATGAAAGTAGAAACCAAAAAAGGAATAGCATATCATTAATACTAGGAATATTCCAAAAACGACAACAATTTATCCTCATCATTGATATTAATCGGGATACCGGTAACTCCGTTACACTAAACGCAACTAAACTCGATTCTTCTAATTACGCCTATGGGGAAGTGCAACCGACAAATAAGAATCATTCGCCCAGTATAATAAACAGATCTGAATCGCACGACATTGACGCAGCGGGCAAACAAACCTAGAGTTAAAAATAAGTACGTGGAAGATAGCTGCTGCGTCAGGGCTTGCACCTCGTCAAAGTCCACTTCGGGCTCCTCCCTGCGATTTTCAGAGCAGGTAATTAAGATGAGTCAGTACCGAGACAAAGAGCAGAGGGAGAGATGATAGAGGGCGTGGGAGCGGACATCAGGATGTCGATGTCGTCGATGATCTCGGAGGCGTCGTAGATGAAGAGGCGGGAGACCTTGACGGCGGTGCCCTCGTCCCACAGCTCCTCGAATGTGTCCTCGTCTACGACACCCTGGATCGACATTGACCACGGCAAGGCAAACTCATAGGCCAAGTCAGGCCAAATTCCACAACCACACAACTAGAGGGCAGGGGAGGGGCCTCACCTCGGTGTACATGCCGGCGATATGGGCGTTGAGCTGGGCCCTATGGTATGATGTTCCAGCGATCATCGTTGGAGCTGTAATTGGCGAGTTAATTAGCCCAGACTTTTCGTACCAATGCAAATACACCTAAGCCCAGAGATGCTCTTCACGCTGTCTCGCGAACCGACAGCTTTGTGATCCTTGGATGTGACCTCGCAGACCATCCATTCTGTTTTTTCCCTCCTCTGGCTACTGCTCGTAGTGCCGTCGTACTCTTATAAGAAGGCCACGCTGAAATTTCAGACCGAAAGGACATGTTTAACATGCGCAAATATGGTGATTGGCTACACTCTGGGTACAACAACCAACAACAAGACTTGCTTATAGAGAAAAACAAACCGAGCATACAGCAAAACAAAGTCACTAGAGGACCAACCAACCAGGTATAGGTTTTATAAACAGCCCATAGGAAGGGCGGCAACACATCCACGACACACTAAAATATGGACTTCACACTGACATCAACACACGACAATAGTTTTCGTTCACAGGGTTACGAGCTCAAAGTTCCGACACGAGAATATTCATCTATGTTTTATGCGCACCCTTTGAAAACCGCTACATCATCGGAGACACATGGAACGCATAATGCAAGGGATTGCATGGGGCCACATTCTTCCCCCTTCACTTGCCGCTACTTAGGAGTTAGGACCGCATGCCGCGATCTGCTCTTCGAGCTGCATCAAAAGATGAATAATAGGTCAATGATTAAGATAAGTCTATGGCACATAATGATGCTTATGTCACGTGGTTTCACTAATCAGCCATGTTACAAGTTAGCTAGTTTCTTATTTGCGCATTTGGCAAAGCTTAATTTAAGCTGGGAAACAAAGAATTTCTACCACTTTTTTTAGCTACCATGTGCATCTACCAAGCATGATGACAAAATTACCACATAATCATTTAACAGCTAAATGAGACTTTTCGGTACCTCAAACTAAGTGATCCAAATCTAAATGTCAAAAGATTTAGATTAAGGATTAAAGATTGTTCCCTTTTCTCTATCTTAATATGACCAATCTATGAGTTATGAAACTAGTGGGAATTTGGTATCAAAATCCAACACTAGGCACATAAGGTGCTACCTGCATCATGATCTCCAACTCATGTCGCACAATATAGAACTCATTCCTAACAAGAGCCAATGACACGAGACACCTGAAATAATGCAAAAATACCACATTGTCAAATTCTGAAGAGGTTAACAGAACTAAGATGAAATGGTTCAAAAATTGTAACCCTATACTTCAAAAGAGAAAAATCTCTAGCCATATATGAATTTAGTTGTGCGATAAACAGAAGTCTAGAGCCAATAAATTACAAGAGAACCATCAAAATGTAGCATATTCAGATAATGAACTGAGTAATATCAACAACGTGATTGCAGATGAAGTGAAAAGGCAAATCAGGTTACTTCTTAACAATGTTAGATTGGTATGAGCTGAAAATAACAACAGAAAAGACAACATGAGCTGGCAGGTTTACATGGAGACATTGAAAAACAATGTTGTGAATAATTATTGTGTAACAATATTTAATAAGCTGTTGAGTTCTGACCCATGTTTGTATTGTATGGCATAGAAATTGCCGAAGTGCATGCAGGCGAGGTTCACTTGCTGTGCACCAACACTGAAACATGCAAAGAAAATGCAGATCAGGAAATTAGGAACTTATCAAACTTATTTTTAACTGAGACGTCAACTCAATAATATTCCCAAGGAGCCATTTCCTATCATGATTGTCAACTCCATGAATTGTTTGATGAACCAGAAAAAAACACCATTGCCGTTATGTGCAATAGCAGATCAGTAGTACCAGAAATATTCAGAAAACGACAAAGTTTTTCTTGACGAATCATGAAATTGTCATGAATACCGACAATTCCGCTACACGAGACACAACTACAATCAGGTCTTCTAATTTTGGATATACGACACCCGAATCACGTCCATGACGTAGACACCCTGCGCCTGAAAAATCTGAATAGAAACAACACCGTTCCAATGGAGAAACAGAAACATGGCCATTGGTGTTATGTAGAATTGCAGATCATTAATACCAGCCATGCTTATAAAACAACAAATTTTTTCATGCTCGGACTAGAATAATGGCATTGCCCGAAGAACAGACACGATAGTAGAACAAACGTTTGCAAAACGACAAAAATTCCCCTCGCCAAGCTATACGATTTGATTGAAATTTGGAAGAATACCAAAAAAATTCGTTACACGATATATGACTAAACTCAGCTCTTCTACCTATGGCTATACGACGCCAGTAGAAACGACACGAACCTCAATTGTGCGGCCGTGTCGTGAAGTACGCACCCCATGCCGACACATCCAAATAAAGAACAACATCGATGCGGTGGACAAACTAGAAAAAACACAATTAGAGATACTACCTCCGTTTCAGTTTACAAGTCCTACGCGTATACCTAGGTAGCCAATTTTATCACCCTAATATAAACTATATAACACAAAAATTATACCTTTTGAAAGTAGAAACTCCGAAGTTTATGTTGGTATATTTTTTATAATATATGACTTGTATTAGGTTGGTCAAATTGACAACCTAGGGGTACGCACACGCCCGGTAAACTGAGAGAGAGGTCGTACATAGAATAGCAGATCATTAATACCAAAAAAACCACCATTAGTAATACACGGAATAGCAGATCATTAATACCAGGAATATTCTGAAAACGACAACAATTTATCCTTATCATTGATATTAATCGGGATACCGGTAACTCCGTTACACTAAACGCAACTAAACTCGATTCTTCTAATTACGCACCGACAAATAAGAATCATTCGCCCAGTATAATAAACAGATCTGAATCGCATGACATTGAGGCAGCGGGCAAACAAACATAGAGTTAAAAATAAGCAGGTGGAGGAGAGAGAAAGGGTTTATGATGGTCATCACCTGGAGGTACACCGCATGAGCTGCTGCGTCAGGGCTTCCACCTCATCAAAGTCCACTTCGGGCTCCTCCCTGCGATTTCCAGAGCAGATAATTAAGATGAGTCAGTACCGAGACAGAGAGCAGAGGGAGAGATGATAGACGGCGTGGGGGCAGACATCAGGATGACGATGTCGTCAATGATCTTGGAGGCCTCGTAGATGAAGAGGCGGGAGACCTCGACGGCGGTGCCCTCGTCCGGCAGCTCCTCGAACATGTCCTCGTCCACGACACCCTGGATCGACGTCAACCACGGCAAGGCAAACTCATAGGCCAAGTCAGGCTAAATTCCACAACCACACGACTAGAGGGGAGGGGAGGGGCCTCACATCAGTGTACATGCCGGCGATATGAGCGTTGAGTTGCGCCCTCAGTGCTGCGGCTGCCATGGCAAGGCGAGGAGAAGTCCGGCGGTCCGGGGGACTGAGCGGTGTAGACGGGGCGAATTCGGCTGCGGATGCGGAGTGAACGAGGACGGGATCGAGGAGGAGCGGAGGTTGTATAGCTGGGCTCACGAGGGTCTCTCACGTAGGCGTTTGGCAGCGAGTGCTCTACTGCTGTACTGCGTCGTCGGCCGGGCGTCATTAGTTAGCTTGGAAACGGCCCGCGTGCGTAATGCATGCATGCATCATGCATTCAGGCATGGAGCCACCGGTTGTGTGTCCACGTGTTCATGGAAGTGAGCGTCTGTTTCAACTTTAATCTCTTTCCCTTTCAGAAAAAACTTTAGTCCCTCACAATGTTTATAGGGACGAATAGAAGACCATCCACTCTCCTCTGTCACACTTCAGTGAATTGGTTTCGAAAGCATTCCACCAGTTTTTATAACTTTCACAGTTTCACTTTCAACCCGATTCACCGCCTACGTGCCCTTTACGTCCAGTCATTCCAAAGAGTACTTGCCCCCCACCCCTTGTCTTAGCGCGGCTGCTGGCACGCAGTTAGCCGAGGCTTCTTCCTCTAGTTCTGTCGTGATCGCGCACTCGACGTAAGAGCTTTACAAGGAGCATTGACCTTCTTCACTCACGTGAGATTGCTGGATTGGGCTTTCGCCCATTGTCCAAGATTCCCCTCTGCTGCCCCCCATGGGAGTCTGGGTCGTGTCTCAGTCCCAGTGTGGCTAATCATTCAAAAAGACCAGCTAAGCATCATTGGCTTGGCCAGCCTTTACCTGACCAACTAACTAATACTACGCAGGCTCATCAAACAACGCTTTGATCTTTCTTCAGGATTCGGCCCAAACTATTCAACAGATTCCCACACATTACGCATCCGTTGGTCACTTTGTTCTCACCTATTCCGATTAATTCCAGCAAACGGAGGCCGTTAGGTCAAAGCCACATCGCACGCCCTATAGTTTTGAAGCAAGGCGAGACAACTTTAGCTATGGGGTGACCTAACCAAACATGGCGGTCAACCCCTAGGGATAAATCATGCTTCACGAGTTTGTGAGCTTCAACATTCAAGCTCCTAAATTCATGGCTAATGATACAATTAGTAAAAGTAGCCTTCCAACCTATGATCCATGTATGATTGCTCTGTATATAGCTGCGCTCTTTTGATGTATATCTGCAACGCCACCTTGAAATCTGAAGCCACCTGAATCTTCCTCTCATAGAGATTATCAGCAAGCGCAAGTGCCACCCTTATTGCTGAAGATTCAACAGTAGCAAGATCTAATATATGTGGGAACACAATGGCTGACACACCCAGAAAATTACATGCTTGATCTCTGCATATAGCTCCCATTGCGCCTCGAGTGCCGGCTGGTCCAACCACCGAACCCACATTGACCTTCACCATTGCTTTGGGTAGCGCTCAGCTTAGTTAAGTAACTCTGCACAAAAGCCTGAAAAGTGAAAGGACTTTTATATATCTCCTCATGTATAGCTTTGTGCCGAGCTCCCCATATCATCCGCAAAAGTGATCGTAAACATGATAAAATCCTCCTCATGCGATAACACCTCATGCATGGTGAATAGCCATTGTTTGGCGTCATCATTTACATTCAGACTCAACCGCTCGACGATTTGCTCGTATGATAGTGCCCATGTGCTCCTTGAAACCAAGCAATTCAGCAGGGCGTGCCTGCACGTATCGTTAGACCCGCACAACCAACAAGCACTCGTCGTCGACATGTTTCTATGATGAAGAAGGACACTTTGAGTATTGTGCTAATCTCCACATGAAGACCTTGATTTTCGAGGGGCTTTTATGTGCCATAAGTTTGTCCATCCTGGACAATCAGCCCCTGAGTTTGATCGGCCGCCCTGCTCATACAGCCATGATTCTCTACTGATCTTGGTTCACTGTATCATCTTGTAAGAGGAATGCACAGTGAACATACCCCTTCTATCCTCACTCCAAGCACAAAATCAGATATTTGTCTAGTGCAAAGAGGGATCTCCAATATAGTCTCGGCATCAATGGGAATAAGTTACGATTAAATAAGTTCATCCCTTGATGACACAATGTAATCAGTGTGTTCAGCGACCCTTGTCGGCGGCTGCGGTATTTGTGAAGTTCTCGGCCTCTTTATATGATCTCTAGTTATCTAGTTGTCATTCCAAATATCAGGGGATTCTCTGTCTCCTAATCTCCATATCAAACCATGAGTCATTATGTATTTCCCATGCAAAATAGCCCGCCATATCTGTGATGGGTGTGGTCCCAAGGTTGCACCAGGAAGAGAGTTATTTGGATACTAGACAACTTTTAAGATTAATGAACTCGGAGAACCGGGATGGTCTAGCAAGCTCCAGGCTTGCCTGGCAAGTACGGCTAGATTAAAGATCTCAAATAATCGGTCTCATCGTAACATCCCATGAGACCCGGCATGGTTTCCTTCTCCCATGTTTACTTCCCTACCAAAATTGTCGGATTGAAGAGGTGACACTCGCGCAACATCCTCGCGGGAAACGGAAGCACAAAGTTTATCAAAACATCTTTACATGCAGTTGACAGGAGCTTTTCCATCTATCCTCTCAGCTTTTCCGAAACTCTGTCACATAAATATTTGAAAGTCATGTTCTTGGACTGCCCCACATCAGTTGGCATACACAATTTCCTGTCATTGAGCGACTCACTTTAGACGTTCAAAGTATGCTTGACATCTTCCTTGAGAGCCTGAGGGCATCCTCTCTATTGCAAAATATAAAGGACTTTTCATGATTTATTCTTCGTCTGGATCCCAACCAATAATTCTCTAGTAGGTTTGATACTTCAACTGCCCCATCATGACTTGACTTAAAAAGCAAGATGTTGTCATCTACAAAAAGTAGATGGTTCACGGCCAAAGTTGTTGGTGCCACTTAAGCGTGATGAAGAACTAGATTTCAGGAGGCATTAAAGGCCCTCTACTGCAATTAAGAAAAGATATGGGGATATTGGATCTCCCTGCCGGATAACTCTGTTGGGTTGTAATTGATCAAGTATCTCACGATTAAAAAGAACCGAGAAAGATACCGTCTGAACCATGCCCATAACTATTTGTACCCATGTAGGAGAAAACCCCAATTTCAACATCGTGGCTTTAGAATAATCCCACTCCAACCTATCATATGCCTTCCTCATATCGAGCTTCAAAGCATAGTGGCTACTAACTTTTTTCCTCGCTGCATTTCATGAAATGTAAGAACTCATATGCACTAATAATATTATCCGTGATCATTCTTCCAAGGACAAAAGTTGATTGCTCCTCAGATATGATATCAGGTAAAATTTGCTTCAATCTATTTGCAATAACCTTGGAGGCTATCTTGTATAAAATATTGCACAACTGATAGGCCTAAATTTTGTTAAGAGGGTTGGGTTTGTTACCTTTGGAATAAAAACCAGAATTGTACCATTGATGCATTCAGGACTATCTTCCCCTCTCACGATTGTCAAAACCACCTCTATTACTTCTTTACCACAAATATCCCAATGACGCTGATAAAAATGGGCAGGGAACCCATCAGAGCATGGAGCCTTCATTGGGAACATTTGAAATTGTGGCACCCTGGCTCAGAGTAACCGATTTACCTTGCATTGCCAGCCCAGAGATCAAGTCTTCTAGCAACACATAACAACTTGGTACATACATAACCGCTTTATTGATCTCTTGCGGATACATAGGTTTGATGATTACATAAGAAAGCAAGGCCAAGCGGCACACACGGTGCGACTCCACTATGTACATTATCTATTAAACATCTCAAGGGCCTTGATGCTAGAGGATACAACTACTCAGTAGCGAAACAATGAGGTAGCAGAACTCCGTGCCACAAGGACACTGCTAGGACACAGCCTAGATCGTGAAGCACCGATCAACCTCAACTCCTTGCACGGTTTCTTCTGCATCTGGCATGACACACCAGGTGGGTACTTTGAATGTAGTCGCAAGCTCACAGCAAAAATGACAAACAATAACATGTAATGAAAAAATTAAACATGATCATTAGCATGATGTTACCAATCGCAGTGTGCAAGTGGAATACCATCATGGTCCCTTGGACCAACTTACCCATCTCAAGGGTTACCTCGTAACCACCATTGGTAGCAACCATACCATCGTGATCAACACACGATCACCTCAAGATCAAGTGACTTCTTCATGTGCTCGAGGTTCATAAGTGTGCAAGTTAATTATTTATGTTGACCCATAGTGTGACCTACTACAAACTGTGTCCATAACCGACGACGTGGCTATCGATAGATTATACACTATATAGAGGTTAGTACACTGTACCCACACTATGGAACTCATGGCCTCATGCTCCCATTCGGGTGGACTAACGACGTTCCAACAAAACCAATCTATTGTATACACTCTCCCTGCCACTCCGAAAAACTCCTGTCTCGGCTATGCCATGGGTCACCCCTATGTCAACTCGTGAATCCGCTACCTTTGTGGCCGCCACCGCCGTGGCCAAACAAACTTTATCGTCCCAAATGGGGTCCTCGGTACCATAAAACTTATGCTCACAAGGTTATTGACGCCTACCGGCCTAGGGTAGCACGTGAACATAACATTCCCTCGTTAGAGGCACCGGCGAGAGGCATGACAATTGAGCGAATTAGAACATCCTCATCCAGGAAAGTGTGGTTGCACTAGTGAGCTCGATTCGGTGGCACTATGACTCTATTAATAGCTTTGATTATAGTCAAGTTTAACTTGAATGAAAATGATTCGAGCCATAGAATGCAATAGGGTGCATGATAGTGAGCTAAATGGTGGATGAATCCTAACTTAACCATATAACATTTACTCTATTGTCTACAACATACATATGACATGGAAATGAGCATAATGTAACAAGTAGCATGCAGGTAATAGTTTAAATTCATAAGGCATATAAGTAATCTATATTCAATTGGAACCAAATCCATTGCAATGCCATCTTGCAAA